AAGGGCTTGCCTGGAGGTGATCTTCCTTATTGCCTATCAATCTAGACTCTATTAACCAGACCTTGGGGCTGGGGATGTAGCTTAGTGGCACAAGCACTGTAGGGGCCTGCGACTCTCAGCATATCATTTTAAGATAGAATAATTCTAGTCTTAGCACAAGCCTCAAAATGTGTCTTGAGAAATATCCCGGGGGGTTATAAAGAGTTAACTTTGCAGTCCTGACCTGGCCCTGGAATGCTTCTCCAAAGACAAAGAACACCTGGGCCCAGATAACCACTTATGACCCTGCCTGGGTTGTTTAGTCCCTTCCCTGGCCCTAGATAAACATTGTAACCATCAAGGACATGTATGGTTATCTAAAGGGGGATATATAGAACAGAGTACAGAAAGTATATATCACTGTGGTTGGGCTCATGACCAGAGCCTGACCCTGTTAGTGGTACAAGGAAAACAACATGTGGCCAGGGCTACAACATTCCAGTCGGTTACCATGGAATCCAAAAATGTATATAAAGTGGGAACAAAGGCAGGCCCATGCCCACTTCCCTGATTTGCAAATCAGGGATGCAGGGTGGCTAACCTCAATTTAAACTCTGTTTGTTTCTAAATAGAGTACTTTGGTTTCTTGCGGAATACAAACTGATTTCTGCCATTACAGCACTTGCCTGGCAAGTGCAAGCTCCTGAGTTCGATTCCTGGTATCACACACACACACACACACACACACATATACACACACACGCACACAAACTAGACCAAAGCCAATTTTATAGACATGGACTCCATAAATTCAGCCAAACTTTGTCCCTTAAAATAGCTTGTTGTGCCTAGTTTTTAAAATTTATGCTTTAAAATTTTATTTTAAAAATAAAAAAAGGAAAACATAATAACAGACATCCATTTACAAAATAGTGTAAGAACAATGCAAGCAATATAGAGTTACAGACAGAGTGGTAGGAAATTAACAATGATTGTTGTATTACATATTGATATCTTCAAAGTGGTTTCTCAGGAAAACAAATAGAGACATGCAATATTGATAATTAATTATTAACTGTTCCTTTCAGTAAAGCGATAGAAGTCAGTAGTACAACTATGTTAGCTATCCTGAATATACATATATACATAATTTCCCCTTCTTTCTTTTTCATGCTTAGTTAAATGTTACTTTCATATCTGACATTCCTGGGCAAGGCTTGATTGCATAATTGATTCTTCCAATTATATCCTGACAAGAGTCTGTGACTCTTACTGAACCTATGCAAACAACTGTATCTCCATGAATTGTAAAGAGCCAGAGTGCTTCTCAATTTGAAGGGAGGGAATCGCACCAATGGGAATCACAATATTTTTTAAATGTTTCATTTTAGCTTATGAAAACAGAATTTACTAAATTATTGTGAATTACAGATAGCATAAGAGGAAAGAGGAAGGGCTTCTTCCATATCTAGGAAATAAAACTTTAAAACCAATCAACAATATTCTAAATGACCTCAATAAAATTCCCCTCCCCAGTTCTTTTACTCTGCTGTGATTGTTAGTCCATTTTCTGTTGCTGTAGCAAAATATCTGAATAATACATTTTTTGAAAAGTCTATTTAGTTCACAGTTTTGGGAGCTGAGAGTCCAAGGTCAGGAGGATCCATCATTTCAGCCTCTGGTGAGGGCCTTCCAGCCGCATCACAACTTGGAAGATGGCATCATGGCCGAAACTGAGGAGAGATGAAGAGAATAGTCTCAACATCAGGCAGAAGACAAGAGAGATTCAGGGGCCAGGCTTCTCTTTTGGTAACAACTCACTCCCTTGGGAACCAGTAGGGTCCCTTGAGAACTACATCAAACCCTTCTGACGGCAGCCCCTGTACATGACCTAATTACCTTTCACTAGACCCTACTCTTAAAGGTCCCACCAACTCAGCATTGCCACTCTGGGGACCAAGATTCCAGCACATGGACCTCTGGAAGATACGCTCAAACCATACCCAAGCCATAGCAATGCTCAATTCTTGTCCTGTGGGATGCTGGATTAGTTGTAAATCTGTCTGCTTTTCAGCTACAGAGTTCTAGGCAGCCTTACTTGGTCCACCAGTAGTTTGGATGTTATTAGAGCCGTGTCCGTTGAACTTTGAACAGCCCACAGCTTGGCAGACCAAGTGTATCCCTCACCTACAGGAAGACTGCCTCTTGATGAAGACACAAACTTGAGCCTATAGCTAGGTTATTGCAGGTTATTGCAGCCTTTGAGCAAGCATCAAAGGGAAAGAAAAGTCATCTGCAGGTAACATAGAGTTGATGTTTATATTCAGTTATTACCAGTATTTTTCAATGAAGTTCATAAGAATAATGCTACTGACAAGGAAATTTTTCTGTGCAGAATAAGTTTTTCTTTTAAGCCTCTACTTGCTCTCTCTGCTCTATGTTGATGGCCTGCCCAGGTACCAGTAGATCTTTGAAGGTCTAGGATTCAGCTACAATAAGATGTGGGGGCAGGGAGCTGTCCAAATCCAGCCCTCAGCCCAGCAAATAGTAAGGGCGGGCAGCTTAAAACAGTAAGGGCCGGCAGTCTCGGGAGGAGCTCATTAACATGACATGCCAAGCAGTTCAGCACCTTGGGCCTTTTAAATTCTGGGAATTACTTTGATCCTTTTTTACTTTCTTCTATTCAGTAGGCCAAAAAACTACAGACCTTTTCCAAAATATTTATCACAATTTGATGATTAACTAATTTAGACCAGCCAAGATAATTGTTCTACAGGGACACAGAAATTCAACCTCTGTTCAGAAAATCCCTGACATCTGACGTAGGAGGATTTATAGGTTTAGTGGAAATTGCTTTCTCCTGCTCACCAGATTACATACTGCTGGTTGATTTTTTTGCATGAGTAAACATCTCCTACTAATGAACAGACCAATAATGTCCTAAGAAAGGAAAAGAACATCCGTTTCCTTTTCGCGGTTTCTGGAGAGAGCTGTTTGGATTGGGAAACCTATGTTGGCTGTCCACAGTATGAAATTTGGCATCTTCCTTTTGTGGTGGGGTTGGGTTTTGGCCACTGAAAGCAGAGTGCACTGGCCAGGAAGAGAAGTACACGAGATGTCTAAGAAAGGCAGGTAAGTGCACGGTGGGCGGCCGAGGACTCAGGAAAGAGGGTGGGCAGAGCTAGCTTTCAGCGTTGTTCTGGAAACCAAGCATCGTTTCCAGCTTGTGTGCTTTGTGTAGATGTCTTTGTCCTCCTTTTCCATTTGTTCTCCTGTTTCTCCTCTTTGAGGGAGTTGGAATTATGCTTTCTTTTATAATGGTGCTATTTTAGTTATTATCTTCAGATATTCTTAAATGCTTTATTATCTGTCCTGGGTGAAAGATAGAGTCTGAAAAGAAGGTTATACATATTTTTCTTAAAAATCAGTGGCAATTCTTTGATGCCTGCATCCTATGGCTAGAACAAATCTGTGTGTTAGAACAAATCTATGTATTCTGAAGTCACTAAGGGGAGCCTTTGAATCTGTGAGAATGACTGTTATTTTTAATTGTTTGTGAGATATGCATGTGTGTTCCTTTTTAATCTTAAAAAGGCAGGGTTTTGTTCAAGCTGTCTGGCTATAATGATTATTAGATTGGCCCCTACCTGTAAATTGGGAGGGGGTGGGGTTGGAACGGCCAGTGCTGTACGTGCCGCCCGGTCCGTACCAGCCTGTGCAGATGGGGCTTAGACAGGAGCGACTCCCCACCTGCCCCGACACAAAGCCTCACCTGGGCAGCTCGGACGGCGGCACACCTGCCTGGATGGCACTGGTCAATAAATAGGACACTGGGGACAACCCAAGGGGTTGTCTCTAGCGCATCTTTGCTGATGAGAACATAGTGAGGGTATCTGATTTTGAGCATCAGCCTTAACTCCAAATCCAACTTTAGTTTTCTCTATATCTGGATGTAAATATGAAAGATCAAAAATATTGATTAATATGATGGGATCCAGGTTTTGGTAGTTTGGGGCAGCAGGAGGGCTGTATGTCTTGCTCCTTGGTGTACTCCCCTCTGGGGTTTGAGGGAGACCCTCATATATGTGCTCCTAAACAGCAAGTGGAAACTCACAGCACTTGTTTCGAGCTGTTCTTACAATACCCCAAACTAGGACCTGAAATATCCAGTGGTCACAGTGAGGTGCAGGGCATTGAAAAAGAACATTGCGTCCACCGGAGTTAGTAGGGCAAACAGCGTGGTCTGTGGAGTGGTGCACCCGTAGAGATTATTTGAATCAAATATGCTCATAGGAACTAAGCAACAGGAGTGAACTCTATTGGTTGTCATAAGAAACAAACTTCTCAGGCTCTCTTCTAAGCCAGAGTTAGAGCAGTAACCTATTAGCAGGTGCCAGTGATTAGAGATCCCAGAGAACGAAAATGGCTTTTGCTTCAAAAATTACTTTTAATTAAAAATTCTTCATTTAAAAATTTTTTATATTAACATTTTTATTAAATTGACAAATTATAATAGTTTATACTAGCGGGGTACAAAGTCATGTGAAATGTGTATACAGTGTGGAATGATTAAACCAAGCTAATTAACACAGCCACGCAAGTTTGTAATGCCAGAGCTCTGGGTGGCCAAGGCAGAAGAATCTCAAGTTCAAGACCAGCCTGGGCATTTCAGCGCTTTAGCAAGACCCTGTCTCAAAATAAAAAATAAAAAAAGGGCTGGGGATGTAGCTTGATCTAAGGCCTGAGTTTAATCCCACAGCACCACAAAATAAAACAAAAACATATCCACCACCTCAAATACCGTTTTCTTGTGGTGAGAACATTTGAAATGTCTCCTTTTAGCAGTTGTGAAATATAAATGATTAACTATAGCCACCACGCTGTGCAGTGTATCTGAAGTCTGCATTGCTTTTGTCTAGCTGAGATTGTCTACCCTTTGACCACCATCTTTCCCCTGCCCCCTGCTATCCTCTAGTACTACTTTATGTGTTCAGTTGTTTGAGACTCCACAGGAAAAAGTGAGACCATGTGGTATTTGGGTAGGCTACTTTTGGACATTAAATCCAAGAACTTGATCAGATACCCCTTGGAGTCCTCTTTTAGGCATTTAAAAGCAGGCAACCGAAGTGGGGTTAGAGTTCTGCGGGGGAAGGAGACTGAGTCTCAGGTGTTTGTGCCTCTGTGCCTGGCTTACTGAACTTAGCATAATGGCTTCCAGATTCACTCATGCTGTTGCAAGTGGTACAGTCCCCCTTTTTAAAGGACGGAGACCGTCCCACTGTGTATATATATTATACCTTCCTTATCCATTGGCCCCATATCGGACATTTAAGTAGAACCCTTAAATTGGCCATTGTGAATATTGGGAACGCAGACAGCTCTTCAAACACTGAACTCAAATCCTTTGGAAATGTACTTGCAAGTAAGGTAGTTCTAGTTTTCAGTTTTTGAAGAATGTCCACACAATTTTTCAATTTTTAAAGAACCTCCAGTTTCATAGGATAACAGTACTAATTTGCATTCTCACCAGCAGTAGACCGGATTCTCTTTTCTCTGCATCTTTCCAGCACTCATCATTTGCCTCTTTGATGATAGCAGTCCTGACACGTGTGAAGAAAAATCTCACTGAGGTTTAACACTGCATTTCTCTAATGATTAGTGATAGTGAGCCTTTTTTCATTTATCAGTTGGTGACTTGTATGCCTTTCTAAAAAAAATTGGGGTTCTTTGGCCTTTTGAAATGAGTTGGGAGGGATAGAATGTCACTCTGTTGCCCAAGGCTGGTCTCCAACTCCTGGGCACAAGCAATCCTTCCACCCCATCCTCCAGAAAGCTAAAACTGCAAGCACTCACGGCTGAACCGGACTCCCCACCCCCAGAACTGAGGATTTAACTCGGGGTCTCACACCTCAGGTGCTCTACAGCTGAACTACGTTCCAAGCCTTTTAAATTTTATTTTGAGACAGGGTTTTCCTAAGTTGCCCAGGCTGAGCTCAAACTTGCAGTCTTCCTGCCGCAGTCTCCTATGTAGCTGGGATTACAGCAGAGTACCACCATGTCAGTCTCTAGTTTGCTCTTTTAAAAACCTGGGAGGCAAAGAAAGAAAAAAGAAAAAAATATCTGGGAATTCTTTTCTTGCTATTGAGTTGACTTTCTTGTATATTTTGGATAGTTATTTTCATTCTGTTAACTGTTTCCTTTGCTGTGCAGACCTTTTTAGTTTAATGTAATCCCATTTGTCTACTTTTTTTGCCTGAGCTTTTAGGGTCAAATCTAAAAATATCATTGCTTAAATTACTGCCATGTAGTTTTTTTGTTTGTTTTTTTGTTTTTTTGTTTTTAGACAGAGTCTTGCTATGTAATTCAGGCTGGCCTTGAACTCATTGTGTAGCTCAGGTTAGCCTTGAACTCATGGTGATCCTCCTGCCTCAGCCTCCCAAGTGCTGATATTACAGGCATGAATCACCACGCCTGGCTCCTAGTAGTTTTATAGTCTTGTGTCTTATGTTTAAGTCTTTATTCCATTTCAAATTTTTTTTTTTTTTTTTTGAGACAAGGTCCTGCTATGTAGTTCAGGCTGGCCTTGAACTCATGGCAAAGCTCCTGCCTCAGCTTCCCAGGTTCTGGGATTACAGGCATGTGCCACTATGCCTGGACTGAATTGATTCTTATATATGGTGTAAGATAGGCATCCAATTCCATTTTTCTGCAGGTAGATATTCAGTTTTCCCAACCACTTTATTAAGAGGTTGTCAAGCCAAGCATGATGGTGCACGCCTGTAATCCCAGCATTTGAGAGGTTGGGGAAGGAGGATCACCATGAGTTTGAGGCCAGCCTAGGCTACAAAAGGGAGTTCCAGGCCAGTCTGCACTACGTAGTGAGACCCTGCCTCAAACAAACCAACCACAAATATGTTGTCCTTTTTTCATTATGTGTTCTTTGTTGCCTGTAAATTCACAGATTCATTTTCATTATTTTTTTTATTTTGAAGAGAATAGTGAAAAAGAAAGAACAATAGCAAATTACAAACAAAATAAGGCAAGGACATTAAAAATGATATGGGGTTTCAAAACAAATGATAGGGATTAACAGTGGCTGCTATATTACATATTGTTATCTTCAATGAAGTTGCTCAGATTACCAGATGTAAGAATGGAAGATTGATCAAATCATTAAAGGGAATAAGAAAATAATAATTTAAAAGAACATTAGAGATAATACATAGTTTCACTGGCCAGGATGGTAGGAATTCACCAATGGTTGTTATACTAGATTCATTTTTAGGCTCTACTCTTATTTATTGATTGATGTGTCTATTTTTACGCCCATACTGTGCTGTTTTAATTATAGCTTTGCAATATAGTTTAAAATCAAGTAGTGTGATGCCTCCAACTTTGTTCTTTTTGGTTAAAATTTTGTTTTGGCTATTCAAGATCTTTTGTGATTTTATATACATTTTAGTTTTTTTTCTATCTCTGTGAAAAATGTCATTTGAATTTTGATAGTGATTGCATTGAATCTATGTGTAGAATTGGGTAGAAAGGACATTTTAACAGTATGAATAATTCCAATCCATGAAAATGGTATATCTTTCTACTATGAGCCTTTTTCAATTTCTTTCATCTATTTTTGTAGTTTTTACCACACAGATTTTCACCTTTTTGATTAAATTTATTCTTAAGTATTTAAATTTACGTAGCTCTTATAAACTGTTTTTTAAAAATTTCATTGTTACTGCATGGAAACTGATTTTTGTGTGTTCGTTTGTATCTTGCAACTTTACTGTATTAATTTATTGGTTTTAACAGTTTTGGGTCGGCGCTTAGAGCCTTTTACACACAAGATCATGTTATCAGCAAATAGCAACAGCGTCACTTCTTCCTTTCCAATTTACCTCTTATTACTTTCTCTTATCTAACTGCTCTGGCAAGGACTTTTGTCTAGTATTATAGTCAAGTAGAAGTAGCAAGAGTAGGAATCCTTACCTTACTCCTGACTTTAGAGAGTGAAATAGAGTTTCTTCCTAAAAATTACTTTTAAAAACTTTATCTTTTTATTTTTATTTTTTCTTAGCACGTGTTTGCAGCACTTAATGATTTCACTCATTGTGGGGAGAAGGTACACATACATA